GTGAGGCAGACACCCTGTCTACTTAAGACTAGGCTTAAAACTTTCCTTTTTGATAAAGCTTATAGTTAGAGAGGCTCAGGTTATCCTGAGCTATCTCTATAGTTATGCTGCTATAGGCTTAGACTGCTGGAGGACATAGGGACCCCCATTTCATCATTCTTCTTCATTCTATTTCTATTTTCCATTCTGCAGTATTTGTTTGTTCAATCTCTAATATGATGCTCTCTTTTTGCTTTTTTCCTCATCAGCTTCATCTGTTCCTGTTTAGCTGTGACACCATCCTGGAGAGAAACATCAGCTGTGCTGCTGCCATCAACACCTTTGTTTATAGATGTTGGAGATAGGCCTGTTTTTCAGTGTAGTCCTATTTCTCAGACTGTGACTAACAGTTTGCACTCTCTGTTATCCTCTTACATGGGAGCTGGCTCAAACTTTGTCTGCTTGGCTGTCTTTCCAGGACGGGGTCGCCTGTGGAGCTGGTTGATAGTTACCTTTTGTATCGCTGCTTCTTTTTCCATGTCTGCTTCTGTCTTCTTGAACCCCAGTCGGCCTCGGCAGATGGCCGCTCACCGGTTCTGCTGCAGGTTTCTACATGTTAAAGGGCGTTTTCCTCTCCACTGTCACTATAAGCATGTGAGGGATTGCTTTAGAGTCAACAAGTCGATGCAATCAGCTGGTTTTCCTTAGATAGAAAACTTTGAACAAATTTGACTGTATGATCTCTATTTCTGTAAAGCGCCTTGAGATGATATCTGTTGTGAATTGGCACTATAGAAATAAACTGAATTGAATTTTAAAATAAACTGTAAAGTTCCTATGATGCCGCCTGCATAGATCTGATGAGGATGAGATGCCACAGAAGAGAAGCAAAAGACCAGCAGATGTTTCACAGTGCGCCCCAGACTCTTGGAAGCGGCTACATATGGACATTAGATCAGGTTTTTGCTTTGTTACCTCCAGGCTCTTCCCATCTTTCTCCTCTAACCCTCACATGAATCTTCCCTTTTATGGTTTTAGGAAGTCAGAGTGCTCTGTGTGTGTGTGTGTGTATCCATTTACCTTTCCCTGCGGAGGAAGACAGGAGTAAGAAGAGGAGGAGAAAGAGGAGAGGCTCTTAGTCTGTCCGTCAGGCTATTTCTGACTGCTGCCATTTCTCTGATTAGATTATGGAGAAACAGAAACCTGGCCCATCCATAGTCCCAGAGCCTCCCCTCTATCTCCCCTCATTTTGCCTTCTGCTGCCTCTTTCCTCCCCTGCATCCTTCCTTCCGTCCTCCCTTCCCTGCTGTCCATCTGTGTCCTCCTCCTCCTGCTGGATGAGAGTTAAATGTGCAGAAAAAGATAGAGATGATAGAAGTGGGGGGGTCTGTTTTCTAGGTGAGGCTGCAGTGAGTGTGTTAGATTATCCTCAGAGAAGTGCAGCAGCCAGGTGGAGGTGCTGAATGATGAACGACTACTAGCGGCTCTCCCATTATCATAACTGTCCCCGCTCTTAACGGGGCATTTTCATCCATGTCTCTCCTGCTCTCTCCTCTTCCCTGCCTCCCTCCGGCTTTCACTGTGCTCCCCCAGGAAGCCGATCGATCCCCCCCTCCTCCTCCATTATACCTCTCAGCTCTCGCTCTGAAGATGAGCCTCATTCATGCAGCTTTCAGTTTATCACCCAGCAGTCCCTTTGGACGCACATGTTGCGTAAAAATGTCTGCCTCTGTTTTTTTTTATTTTTTATTTTATTTTTTTTTTTATCGAATATGTTTCTGTTCTGTTATGACGGCTGGGAAAATCCGCATAAAGGAAATTTTCATAAAAAAAGGAAGGGTGGATAGATAGGTTGCTCCACAGCAGCCTGTCCTCCCTTTTCTTTTAAAGGAAAAGGAACAAATCCATTCTGCCTAATTCGAACCTTGCACAGGGACAGCTCGCGTGGCAGATTGCAGCCTAATTAGTTTAGAGGAAATTTAATTCAATTAACTTTCCACAGCTCCGCGCGCCCCGCCGCTGGGCTGCTTTCAGAGCGCGAGGCCAGAGCTCCAGATCTAATTAGCGTGTTTGGAGAAGCTCTCCTGCGCGCGGCCGCGCCTCGCTCCTCCAGCTGTGCCGCTGCTCCACTGCGCGCGCGCGCGTGTTTGTGTATGTGTGTGTGTGTGTGTGTGACACCGTGGTCTCCCGGGAGATGTTTTTCTTTTTTCTTTTTTATCCCAAAAAGCTTCTTTTTTAAGTAACATGCCGGTGTCCATTAGGATAATTCGGGCCCGGTGCCGCAGGAGAGATGGACGCAGCATGTAGAATAACCGCAGCTGCTCTGCGTCATGTTCCCTCTGATGGATGCGTGTCCAGAGTGGACACACACACACACACACACACACACACACACACACACACACACACACACACACACACACACACACACACACGGGGATGAGTATAATCTGCTCGGGAAAAATGCTATTTGATCAAGGTGAACCGTTTTAATGCGTAATTATTTTGGAGCTATAGTTCCCGTTTTCGATTTCTCTTAGGATTTTAGGACATATTGTGATTTCCGTGTCTGTTTTCATAAAAGTCAAGACTTCCATACATTTTGCATCTACACCGATTCATT